TGTTCATTTCTGTCACAACAATGTACCGTTGAGGAGCAGGAGGAGGAGGAAGAGGAGATATATGAAAATATCAAAAGGAAATAGAACAAATATTTTAATAAAAATGCAGAGGGGAGGGTGAAAAAACAGAGAAACCAGTAGAGCAAAGAAGAAAACATTTTTAGCAAAAAACCTAGACTGCCTAAAACCGCTATCTCCTTACTACTTGAGTCTCAGAGTAACATATTTAGACTGGTAAACAACACCCACGCGAATAAGCCGGGAAAATATTGAATTCGTCAACTTTTGCACAATACGTTTAAATTCAATCATATCTGATACGCCACGCCCTGCCTGTCTCCTCACATATCTCGCATCACGAAATTAGTTAACGAGATATTACATAATTATATGCATAACAACATATTACATAATAAATATTACTGAAAAGATTATACGCTGAAATAATTTTATTTCTGTCGGTCCGGGATATATATGACTCATAACCTCATATAACTTAGCATATCTTTGCAGTTTTATACGTAACTAAGGGTTGATGAAGCATGTCAAACAACAACAACAACAACAACAACAACAACGCATGAAGGTTTAATCTAAAAGAACATTAAGGAATTTGAAGGAATCCTAACCGGAAAGAGAGCCATCCCCGGTTTCTATGTATCCATCAAGAGTCTAATTTACTTTGAATCTGCTGCTTATTTTGGTATATTAGAGTGATTACGAACATGGAAACCTGACTACGGTTTTGTATATCTAAACTACATAAAAGGTCATAACAAGGAATAAAGAGAATGCAGGCCTGGAGACGAAACGTCGAAAGAATGATAGAATTCCATTATAGGCGACAAAGTTGGTAGTAAGAGAAAACTGTCCAATTAAAACGTTACACACGGACAGACTAGTCTAATAGCCGTTGAAAATTCAACGAGTAAATTTGACTCTACACACTTATGGCTATGATTTCTATAGAAAACCATTCATTAATTAATTACCACACTTCAAGCCTACAACTGAAATCACGATTTTATCGAATTAGCACGCTCTGTAACTTCTTCGGCAAAGATCGCAACTGTAATACCGACTGAAGCATATGTACCGTTTAGTGTTGCTACCTCTTGGTAAAAAAGAATGCTATCCCTGTAACAAGCCGTAAAGGCTCATAGGGGTGTGAGACATCGAGGCTTCCACATTTTGTCAAGACAATCGGCTCACAGATGGCGGTAAGTTTGTCAGCCGGCCACCCCTTACCCCCGGGAAGATTCCTGGTATAGATTTCTGTTAGAGGCTTAATCGAACACAGGGCTATAGTGCGGCTGGAAGGGTTAAGGTAAAAGGTAAATTTGTCCCTATGCTCAACGAATTAAGCACTACGCCACGAAGGCGTATGAGGGAGAGGATGTATAGCTCCACATTTTCTTGACCTCGGCACTAGCTGGAGGTGAGTGGTCAGATTTAAGCCCCTGCCGCTTTACAACCGCGGAAAGAGGCCCCGTTACCCTTTGGATAGGAGGCTGGGTGAACCGCAGAGCCGGTCTGGGCGATTTGGAGAGGAGAACATACTTGACTCTACAGGGACTCGAACTCCGACCCTTCAGTCGTCCAGCCTGTAGCCAGTCGCTATACCGACTACGCTACCCCGGCTCTTAAAAGGCTACAGCTATCCCTTGTAATAGGCCGTGAAGGCTCATAGGGTTGTGAGACGTGGAGTTTCCCACATTTTCTAGACAGTCGGCTCACAGATGGCGGTAAGGTTGTGATCCTTATGCGTCGGCCGCCCTTTACCCCGCAGAAAGATTCCCAGTACTCTTTTCTGTTAGAGGCTGAGTCGACCCCAGTGCCATAGTGCTGCTGGAAGGATTAGGTAAATTGAAAATATCCACCTCATCGGGGCTCGAACCCGCGACCTTCCGGCTTGTAGGATAGTGCATCAACCGACTATGCTACCTCTTGGTTCAGTTCTTAACTCCTTCCAATGATTCATATTTCTACACAAAACACACATTAAATGATAAACCTCGTTCGCATACATAATGTAGTTAAAAGAGTAAACGAAACTCATCACATATCAACAGCTGGAGACTTTAGCGACAGAAATGAGGGCATAACTACTGGCACTGTTAAGATCGTCACACAAATTGCACATTATACAAAGCAACAAATGCATTCTTAGAAATTCCATAATAAAATGTACCTGAACTGTAAGTTGGATTAACATTCTTCTTAATTATATTTCGGTAAATAATAAACCAAACAGTCTGTCTTGAATTTGAAAAAGGGGGCGAGATACATTCTGAACAATACGATATAATTTATGAACCAAACTTCTGAACAAGATTACACGCTCTTTGGAAGCAAAAGGAATGATCTGGTATTGAAAAAGATCTGCTTGAAAGAGAATTCCTAAGAAATTTATAATAAGGAGGACCAGGTACATACTTTGAAGGCAGAATGGAAGATATTAAAGAGCATTTTAATAAAAACAGCCCGAGAGGTAAAACGGAAATATAAAGAAAATAAAGGTTATTAAATATGAAATATTGAACGTAAGGAAGATGTGTATTCACGTAGAATCACTTATCTCAGACTTTCAGTAGATGTATGCATTTGTAGTTTATTTAATAACGCTGAAAGGAACTCTGACCATGTAGGCCTATGGGCGCTATAGCGTCCGATGACTGGATAGTAAATAATGAATTTCAATAACAGTAGAAGGAAACCGTCGTGACTTAATTGAAGGAAATACAACAGCATCTGTCTAGAGGGACTAAGAAAACCCACGAAATGCTTCAGACGCGTTAGTTCATGCCCTGACCGAGATTCGAACCGTGCATCTTCCTAATATAAGTGAGAAGCGTCACTGGCTTCAATCATCTTGTTGGATTAACTAACAGTACAGGAGGCCACAAATAGTTTTTTATTTCTGGTGGGGTGAGACTAAGTCCCTTGTACTGCGGCCACTTCTGGCCTATTGTACCAGCCCCAGATGATAGGTGAGGGTGATTGTGGAGCAATTAGTGGAATGAAGATTGGCAGGGAAAAACCCAAGTACTCCGAGAAAACCTGCTCCAGCGCCACTTTGTCCACCACAAATCCCACTTGACCAGACCCAGGATCAAACCCGGGCCGCCGCGGTGGGAAGCAAGCGACTAACCCCTTGAGCTATGGCGAGGCCAGGCCACAAATAACTGTCATCGATTTCAGTATTATATTTGTAAGCATTCATTATTTTTCATCAGTAATGTGTCATACGCTACCGGTGGTATAGCTCTCAGGGTCCTTGGCATACTCAAACCCCCTCACCACGATAAGGTGGAGACACCAACGAGGGGGTGGCTCCCCGGCGGGGAATCGAACCCCGGTCTCCCGCGTGAAGCATTATTACTAATAAATCAGTTCACTTCTCTTATTAGATTTTAATTTTCTATACTTTATTTGAATTTTCATCTCAAATGTTTATAAGATTCGAATGCCGTAGATAGAGATCAATAAGCGATGTGCAACTAATGAACTGGAGAGTCAGTCGTTGCTTATCTGATAATTTTACAAAAGAAAGAAAATACAATATTGACATTGATGACAAAGAGTTGATAGCAACGAGTCATTAATGTCTCACTGACATATTTCCAGCCATAAAATTAAAAAAAGTAAGCATCAGGGCTGTTCATTATCCTTCTGTATAATAAAAACATAATATGGCGGTGATATAAAAGCTCTAAAACTATGCAGTTTCGAGTTACCAAAGCGACTAAGGGGGAGGACACTCCAAAGAAACTGACAACTGCTACACAACCGCAATTTCCGAGAAACGTCACTGATTTCAAGCAGAAAACTGGTTTCCAGCTTAGCAGGCGCACACTGAGGAAACTTATGTTTGACTAGCTGCTCATATCGTCTCAAATTGGTGTGTTCAAGACATCAGTAGCCTAGACTACACAGCGGAGAATGATAAATTGGAATAAGTGTGGAAGGGACCAGTTTCGACCAAGTTAGAGGTACTATCCCGGGACCTGCCTAGAGAGACAGAAAAACGATAAACCTCAGGCTTAATGATTGCTAAACTGCTGCTGGTCCTCGCCAGCACAGTCAGTCTTGGTTCCGAGTCCCACGGGACTCATGACCGTATTATACCTACTGATGGCTCTGGGAGTCTTCAGAGCCTCCTGTCACTCCCATCACTGACTGACTGATTAACGACCAAACTACTGCTGGGCTTCGCCAGCACAGTCAATCTTGGTTCCGAGTTCCGCTGTCCCCATAATTTACTGTCTGATGGCTCTGGGAGCCTTCAGAGCCTCCTGCCATTCCCATCACTGACTGACTGACTGACGACAAAACTGCTGCTTGACTTCGCCAGCACAGTCATTTTTGGTTCCGAGTTCCGCTGTCCCCATAATTTACTGTCTGATGGCTCTGGGAGCCTTCAGAGCCTCCTGCCATTCCCATCACTGACTGACTGACTGACGACCAAACTGCTGCTGGTCTCGCCAGCACAGTCATTCTTCGTTGTGTGGCCCGCTGGACTCGTGGGCATATTTTACTCTCTGACGGTTATGGGAATCTTCAGAACTCTGAAATCTCAGGCTGAATAGCCAGCCTTAATTAAACCCCGGAACTAACGAATGTGATGCAGAAGAAGAACAACACACTAGGCGTTCTGTAGATCAATATATCAGGCAACATGTGTTATTGTCACGTTCAGGATAAGCAAACATTGAGGTAGGGCAGTTCTACCACAGGTGACCTCATGATTCTACCCACTATTCTCCGTTGGACTAGTTCTTGTCCGAAACAGGCCGGGCTACGTTATGTAGGCTCAACGGGTGTCGCCATGTCAGACCGTCAGATGCAAACAGCTGACGGCAGAAGGCGAAGTCTCTGTGCTTAAACGCTGAGAGAAGATATAGACTTTACACAGCCATCAGCAAACACAACGGAATCAGAGCTGCAAAGAAGATTGTGTGTCAGACATAAAACCATGCTGTAACTGAGTGCATACTTACGAAATCTCACCGAAAGGCGCAAATGCTTCTCTAAGTGTCTGAGTTTCAATCTCTGGACTGAGGTCTCCGACAAATATGTGGTAGTGTTCTGAAACAGAAGGAAGAAACATTTTAGTACATATATTTGCTGAAATATAATTCCGTTTCAGTTCGGGAAATTAAGTTCCTAGCTATTAAATGTTATGGAAATAGACACTTATAGAAACTCCATACGTAACAGCCTTTAGATTCGAAGTTGGGTAAAGGTAGATAAATGCAAAGTTTGGTTTCATTCTGTAAAACTTACTGCTTATGACTGTCATTACATTGCGTTTTTCTTGGACATTCTTTGCTGCCTGAGATACATTTAACATGTATGATGTTTCGACAGCATATTTTATCACAGGCAAGTTACTCTCAGTAAACTGACATACATTTTAGCCATATTAATTCCGCAGAAAAGTAGCAGATTACAGAGTTCCGGGATATAAACCAACACTTTCCATAATATGAAGTCTTAAACAAAAACACAAACTCCGTCCGCCAGCGAACTATACCGACTGAGCGACCGCCGCATGTCGGCGAAGTTACTGCCAACTTTAGCAGATAGAAGGCGTCGCTTGGTCAGCGCAATAAATCCCCACGGCCGTTAATTTAGGTTTTCTAGACCGGAGCCGCCACTTTTCCATTCAAGTAGCTCCTCAGTTATCCTCACGAGGCCGAGTGGACCTCGTTCGAGACCCACTACTTCTTAGAAAATCTGACAGCGCCGAGAATCTAACCCGGGACTTCTGAATCTGTAGCCAGGAACTCGTGACACTTTGAAAAGTAAATAATTTGTGGACATTACATATGTTTCAAATACCTGATTTCAAGTTCAATTTACTCTGTATATTCGGCAAAGGCAAGGCCCAACCAGCAAATCCAATATCAGTTCTCCTTCCTACGAATTGGACACTTGACGTCCATACTGGAGCCCTGCAGATACTGTTCCATTTAAGCCATTCTCTGAAAGAGTATCCCGCACAAAGTCCAGTGTCACATGTACAGCAGCCATGCTTCAAGTCCGAACGACGTAATCATTCGTCTCTACTGACTGATCGTTTGGGCGTAGTGATCCACAACCGGCTTCGTGTTCAGAAGGTCCTGGATTCCATTCTTCCATTGTGACAGGACTTCTCGCGTTTGCTACTTCCCATGAAGTTTCCTCTGTTCTTCCATGGTCATTATACGAGTCAGTCCAGAGGAAATTAAATTCGGAACACCATTACTATATTCAGTTCTCAATTTTATACAGGATTAAAATATTTAAGGCTCTTATCTAGATAGTTCGAACAGATATAGCGTTGGGCTGCGGGTTTGACGGCTGAGGTTTGATTTCTGACAGGGAAAAGATATTTCCTCTTCTTCTCGCCGTCCAGGCCGGCTCTGGGGGCCACATGCGTTCCTATGAAACTGATGTGGGCTCTTCTCCTGGGGTAAAGCGGAAGAAGCGTGAAGCTGACCGCTCACCTCCATCTTCTTCCAAGATCAATAATAGTGGAGCTATACCTCCACTGCCCCATACGTCTTCATTGCGTGATTCTTGACTGATTAAGCACAGAAACAACTTTACATTTATTTTATGATGTAGTTGTTATTTTGTGTGGGTTTCAGTCTGAAGAGCATATATTTAAGGTGCTGAACAACAATTTTTTGAGTAAAATATTTGAAATCAGAGGAATAAGTGACGGGACGGCGGTGAAATTACGTGCGAATTATGACGTTCTTACGATCTGTACTTTGCATTTAATAAGCTTAATGTTAGGATGACGCAATTACGTACGATGACACGTGACATTCAGCACGCATGCGAGAAACTAAAAATGCACACAAAATATTTGTTGGGAAACGTTGAGAGGCAAACGTAACTTGGGAGACCTACGCTTAAATTGAAGTATAGCGCCCATTTGTAATGATGTAAAAATATGGAAAGACTTGAACACGTTCAGTGTTGGGTTCAATAGTGGGCCGTCCTGCGCAGTTATAATATATTTCATTTACTATATCGCCAACTCAACTGTTAATACGGGACAATTGTTTTTACATTATTTTGTCGAATAGAATAAAATGTTATAATATATACCTTAATGGATCCATTAATCAAGAAAACTAAGAATTTGGAGTCGGGTATGATTGTTTTAATTTAGTACAGATGTATTATTCATTTAACGTCAACAGCCTAAATTGGCGAATATAAATTAAAGCATGTCTCTGATTGCTGAAACAATGAAACAACAATAATGTCACGTGTAGGGGGGTAGGTCGTTAAAGTTGGCACTAACTTCGCTGACAAACGGCGGTGGCTCGGTCGGTATAGTTCGCTTGCGGACTCAAGCCACGGAATTTAGTTTTAGAGGGGTACGCGTGACGAAAATAACGGGTTCTTGATCGGATGATTGGATTTATTGGCACTTCGGTTACAAGTTCCCTCAGTCACACTCAATTCTAACGCTATCGCTATCCTACTTCTTTCAGTTCACCTTTGCACACTCACTAGGATTCCGCGTCTTTACTAGTCGTCTCCTGGCAACGGATCTCAACACAGAACCTATCAATTCAAATCACGATGAAGTCTTCTTGCCATTTCTTGTTCAATTATCCTGGAACCGCAGAACACAACTAAAACTCGCCTCAGCAGCAAGCGGATCTTCATATAGCCGCGACACGGACAGCATAGGAAACACAGTTCTACTCTTGCGTGTTGTAGACCTCACAGGAAACATAAGTCACGTGATCGCTACCCAGATAATTCACGGGCCTTTTGACTGCTGCCTAGCAAAGAGCTATATCATTCGTCCACTGAGACACAGCTTTCATTGTTGCGCGTTGGAACTCGTTTACAGAGCCGTTGCCTAGCAATACGTTGATCAAAACCATTACAATACATTAGTACTAGTATTTAACAGTCGGGGAGAAATGATAATAAAAGGCTGTATTGCAAGGTGACTATACACACCGGAATGCGCCAATACAAATTTGCTCTCTCAAAACTTGATAAAACTTCGGTTCTATTCGAGTGCGAACTTTTCACGGAACATCATTCGCCAGGGACGAGATTAGTTTAACATGGCGGTGAATATTTAGATCGCGGTCTTCTGACATATGACGCCACTCGGTCAGATAGAAGGTTACCAGCGTTTTGCAAGGAAAAACTCCTTCATCCTCAGATTCAACCCTGAATATGAAGGCAGTAGGTTCTTCACACTGGTAACTTTCTACTTAGTTTTTTTTTCCTTGGCACTACAGCCCCAGTGGGCCTAGGCCTACCTCCATGATCTTCTCTGTTTACTTCGGTTTTTCTAGATCTTACACATTCGGTAGGACTCCTTGGGCGGGTGATCAGCTGGTCGCAAGGCCTCTACTTGTACACAAACAGAAAAATGCACACATACAAACTAAACATCCATGGCCTGAGTGGGATTCGAACCCACGATCCCGGTTTCCAAGCGAGCGAAGACAGTACATGCCTTAGACAGGTCGGCTACCGTGATCGGCTCTATTTGGATTATTCGGTGTTATTTGCCAGATGAATGTAATCTCAGTGTACCATAGAGTTAATTGCTGTCAACTGTCGAATTAATTCTGGAATTGGCGAATTAGATAGTTAAGTCAGCCGGTCTGAAATTTTCAATTGGGCAGTTTGCTGCGTAGTTTTGAAGTGATCAGACAAACAGCCTCTCTGTTAGTTATAAGTCTAATGTGAGAAAACCAGCTGCATGACGTTGGTATGTTTCCTGTCTGATTAACCCTGCAGCATGGTTCAATATTTACTGATCACTCGGATGTAACCGCACTCAAATATTTGCACTATTTCCCACATAACACAGAAAAGGAAAGTCCTAAACTGGAAGGGTTTAATTAGACTGGTGTAGGTCCTTCCTTATTCTTCAGTGAGTGATGGCTGCTCTGGTCAGCAATTGTCACCAAATGGCGACATGACACTTCTCCGAACCACAGAGTCCAATCATCTTCATTAGAACCAGGAAGAATGACGAACAAGCGAACCTCTCCGGAGTCAATAATGGGACCTAGGTGAAGATGGCGAGTGGATACCTGCCCCATTCTTCCGACTTTCTTCTATTTCGACTGGAATGTTATCCTTTGTATGGTCATTGTATATATCCACATTTCTCTCCTGTCTTCCTTAATACACAAATCCTTTTCGACTTTCTTCTCCTCGTAAATTTATTTAATACTATTCTTCGGTTCTCTCCTCTTTAATCTCTTAGTACGCAATTCTGTATTTAAGCATCCTGTTGCAAGCTATATAAAGCGTCTATGTATAACATAGTCCGTCAATAATGCAACAAATTGTTCCTTTTTATCTTCAACTTTCACCTTTCAATATAACATGTTTCTGCCATAGATGGTCATCTTCAGGTGTCTTAATAATAAAACTGATATACTGCACTGTTATGCGCTCTTAGTACCTCTCTGTTATGTCTCAGCACGTCTTGGGAAATATCCTACAGCTACGAAATTTCGCTCTAACTTATAAGGTACATTTGTCGTCTGTCTTTTGATAATTCTTGGTTACCTTGTATATGATAAAACGGAATTTATTTTAAAATAGAGAAATAAGTGATTGATGGACTGCTGGCTAATCAAAAAATAATTACAGTGCCAAATGACTGGTCAACTTCAAAACAAACCGACCAACTGACTGTAAATATTAATTGATGAAGAAACTTCATGGTACAGAGCCTTTTTCGAATCGGGGACAGGGCTACTTACCCAGGTGGTGAAGAAATTCTGTACTTCTATCGAAATCGAGTATCCATCACAGAGTTCATGAAAGCCCAATATCGGACCAGATCCCGAGATAGCTGTATCTAGCTAATGCCTTCGCACCCTATTTTCATAAGACTAATATTATCCTCCCATCTATGCGATCTCTTCGCTTGAGTTTCTACTTTCCCTGCTGAGTACCAGGACCTACACGTGCATCGCGTTCTACTTACTTACAATATTAAATTTCATATAAATTATAGGACCGTTTTATTAAATGACCCAATACTTAAAAGATAAGAAGTTTGGTAGATCCGTGTGGACCCTTTATTATTATCG